TCTCTCTCTCTCTCTCTCTCTCTCTCTCTCTCTCTCCCGCCACGTTTTCACATTTCGCATGTGCCGTCGCGATGCCCTGTTTTTTGTCATCTTTTTTTATCTTGTCTTTTTTGTCTTTATTCCTTTCGTTTTTTGTTCGGACCAACGCAAGTTTTTTTTTTTTTTAATTTCACCCGTTGCCACGTTTCTGTTTTTTTTTTTTTTTTTTTTCTTAAAAAAACATTTCTCTTTTTCGGACCCACCACCCAAGTTTCTCTCTTTTTCATTTCATTTTTTTTTTTTATTCTATAAAAGAACGTTTCTCTTTTTCGGACCCGCCACCCAGGTTTTATCTTTTCTTCATTTCTCTTTTTCGGACGCGCCACCCAAGTTTCTTTTTTTTTCATTTCTCTTTATTTTTTATTTATTTATTTATTTTTTACATTTTCTTTTTTTATTTTTTCTTTTTTCATTTCTTTTTTTTTCTTTTTTTTTTTAACATTTTCTTTTTTCATTTTTTCTTTTTTCATTTCTCTTTTTTTTCTCTTTTCTTTTTTTTCACTTTTTTTCCTCTTTTCTTTTTTTCCTTTCTTTTTTTTCTCTTTTCTTTTTTTTCTTTTTTTTCTCTTTTTCCTGCAGTCTGACGGCGGGCCCTTCGACGACGGTCTTCTTTTTTTTCTCTCTTTTCTTTTTTTTTCTCTTTTCAAATCTTCTTCTTTTTTTTTTTCTTTTTTTTTTCTTTTTTTTTCTTTTTCTTTTCCTTTTGAAATGTTAAACATTTCTTTCTCTTTTTTTTCTCTCTTTCTCTTTTTCCTGCAATCCGACGGCGGGCCCTTCGAGATATTCACTCGAATCGACGCCCGCCGGCTCTCGGCCCCTGTGGGCGCGCTCTCTCGTTTGCCGGCGCGCTGTGAACAATTGGGTACGCGCACCGCTCTGCTCGCACCCCCGCCCTCGATCGCCTTCATCCGCCGGGCCGAATCAAAAGTTCGGCCCGATTCCGGCGCGCAGCGGAACACGACCTCCCCACCGCGGGCCCACCGCGCTTAAGGGGTAGGATATGTGTATATATAGTCAAACAGTTTGTGACGATATATAGCCTCCTGGTGAGTTGGTGAAACTCCCGGCGAAACAGTTTATCACAGCACCTCGTCTCTTCCATCCCCCCACCGCTGTTTGAGGGAAGTAGCAGTGGAAAGGCCTGTTGCCCCCCCTCGTGGGTCAGATCAATACAATCAGTAGTGCAATCTTCTAATTCCTGCCTGTTCTTCACTACCTCCGATCCCATTGTCCTGTTGGTCTCCCCCACCCGTTAATATCATGTAAAACGCTCTGCACCGGAGTTGGCATCTGCAGCCTGATGACCTACCGATTGCCCAGATATATTCTTTGCTGCGCTCCCTGACACCATCTGGCTCTGGATTTTTCTGATAGTTGTGGTACCAGGGGTGGGGCACAGATCTTCCAATGGACCAGGCAACGAAAATTTGATGCTGAAGACGGGTGCCCTCGCCCTCGCCACTCCGATTATCGTGGATCCTGCACCTCCAAGGGACCTCGGAAGGTACCTTGGGGGAGGCCACAAAATGGCTGTAGCCCAAGGATGCCCTGAGGATTCCCTGAGGAAATGTTTTCACTTTTTTTTTCCATTTTTTCCTCCGAGGATAGGTGGAACGACAATTTCCTCGGGGAATTTCTGCCCCCGAGGAGTGACTAACGAGCCCCTATGTACTAGTGCTCTTGTTGTCACATTCCTGTTAACAAGTTCTCTACTTTGGTGGCATAGATCTGTTGTAAGGGGCTTCAGAACAGCTGATGTCCCCTGCAGATTCTCATTTCTGCATCAGGGGATTTCAACGCGTTAGCAGCCCCCTGTTCATTGGGCAAATTTATTATTGAATGTCCTGCTGTCACCGCACACTCTGCCCTTGGGGTTATAGGCTGAAAGGCGGACAGTGCAGAGTTTTTGAGTTCAATCCCTTGGGGAGGATTGGCTTGCTGCTGACTGATTTCCTCTTCAAGTTGTTGACCGTGTCGGCGCTCAGTCAGTGTTGAGGTAAGAAACCTCATACTCCCTGTCCCCTCCTGCTTCTCATTTTCTTTTTTTGTTTGTCCAACTCTTATTTCCTTGTTCCCCCCCTCGTTTGCAGTACGGGAACTGACTATTAGAGAAGTACTCAAAAGATCTGAGTGTCGTACCACCACTCATAGCTCGTCTGCTATCCCCCCTGCTCACAACTGGACACCGGGTCCACTGTCCCCTGGGTATCCCTGGATACTTGGAGAAAGACCTGCTTGAGTTGCCAAGGCTGTGAGCAGGGGGAATCAAAGGCCATTCCCCAGCTTAGGCTCCTGGAAACCGGGTTCACTGTCCCCTGGGTCTAAAACTAGCTCTCCAAACTGTCAAAAGAAAAGGTGGAGCATTTTTTTCTCTTTTTTATTTTTCCAAACATCCTTGAAGGGCGGACTACTAGAGGTGAGAAGATTTTTTTTTTTTTTTTAATTATTATTATTATTTTTAAAGATCAACCGCTAGTAGAGGAACGAATTAATAGCAATACCACCTCTTGATCTTGCACGGGAAGGAGTTGCTTGCCGTTGAGAAGCAACCGGACTGATGCTCCCCAGAATATGTTGGGCCCGTGGTTTGTCAAACAAACAAAAAAAGACGATCTTGCATGGCAAGGAGTTAATCCTGTGCCCAATAGATGTCGTTTAGTCCTTCATGGTGGAGAGCTAACGCGCTCTCCATGACCTGTCTCTTATACACATCTAGATGTGTATAAGAGACAGGACTGATGCTCCCCAGAATATGTTGGGCCCGTGGTTTGTCAAACAAACAAAAAAAGACGATCTTGCATGGCAAGGAGTTAATCCTGTGCCCAATAGATGTCGTTTAGTCCTTCATGGTGGAGAGCTAACGCGCTCTCCATGACCTGAGGGAGTTACTCACCGCTGAGAGACTGCAGTCTACCTACTGCGTTTAATTTTGGCCAAGCTGGAATCTGTTCCCCATGTATCCCAAAACCATTTCCTTGCGGGATGGTGGCTCGTGAGGAGAAAGTTTTGCAAGAGAGGGGGGATGGGGTTGGGTGGTGGGTTAGTTGATGTGTGGAGACTCATTTTCTCTGTTTATAATAGTCAATTTTGAATTTTCACCCCCTTTCTCATAAACTTCTTCGAGGTGCCTGCAAATCTTCTTTTCATTCTTAAACCACTAGTACCTTTCCCCGCTTGAAAAACAAATGCCCGCCGGTTAACACGGGGGGCGGGCAGCCTCGGCACTACCGGGACGAAATGGCCGGTGGCGCCAGCCAAATTCGATAGCGCGTCGGTTCGTTTTTTGGTGCGCAGTTTGAATTTAGGCTCGGCATCGACAGCTGAGAAAGGTACTGGCGGTTTAAACCACCAGTACCTTTCTCAGCTATCAATGACGAGCCTAAAATTGCGCTGCGCGCCATAGAAAAGCAAACCGGCACGGGCCTCATTTTGGCTGGCGCCACCAGCCATTTCGATCCGGTAGTGCCAATCCCCGCTCCCAAATATACTGGCGTGTATGTGATTTTCCAGTGGGGAAAGGTACCGGTGGTTTAAATTTGTAAATCCCTAAGAGTAGCAGAAGATGGTTCAGAACTTCTCAGAATTTTCTAAGCCAAAGCCGGGTAACGGCCCGAGTAACTATCTGATTTTTCCAAATTGTTCAAGTTCGTAAGGGACGTTGGGCCTGGTTCCAGCACGTAAAGCTCCCCACGGATAGATTGGATCATTGGAGTAATATTTCCTTAAGCCGCCAGTACCTTTCTCTTTTTTTTTTTTTTTTTTTTTTTTTTT